GTTAGGCTCTATTTTATCCTTCTTACTGGTGGACAGAGGGCTTGCGCATTCAACAGTGAAAGTGTATGCAGCAGCCATCTCGTCCTGCCATGAGGGATTTGGCGGCAGGTCAGCCTTTAGTCAACCACTGATGTTGCGGTTTTTACAGGGGGTCAGGAGGCTGCGCCCAGTAGTGCACGCCTCCACCCCACAGTGGGACCTGCCCCTAGTGCTCGAGGCTCTGGCCTCTGGGCCGTTTGAGCCTCTGGAGCTCTCCTCTCTGAAAGCATTGTCGTGGAAAACAGCTTTGCACAGCGGCGTCTTGGTCGACGCCAGGCCCCTTCATAAGGTTTTATCTCTTGGACATGTCGGGCTCTTTCTCCTCGTCTGTGCTTGCGGGGGCAACACAGGACTGGTAGGGGGGAGGGGGGTTGTGGGTCAGTTGGCATCTGACCCCCTCCCCGGACGTAATGCGCCTTCGCTGTTCTCGGGCCTTCTGAGGGTCCCGGGAGGGGCGGGGGGGGGGGGGCGCACTGGGCCCTTACAGGGCTGGAGGACTACTCTCCTCCTGTCGAGAGGCAGGAGGGGGGTAGCCCTCCACACTTTAGTCCACACACTCTGCACGGGGTCAGTGTTTGAGTGTGGGACGTGGGCTCGGACGCTCTCCCTGTTATCCTTAGGGATTCAGGGAGGCAGGCGTGTAGTAAGCCCATTCGGGGCCGAGGGGGCTCTCCCCATCCGTCTATGGGCGGGGGGGGGGTCCCCCGGCACTGTTTTTTGAGCACACTTTCTGCGAGGTAAGCGCAGCAGGGTGTGCTCTGTCAGCCACAGCCCAGATTTCTCCTCGGTTACAACCGGGTTAAAGGAGAATGTGGGGCAGCAGCTGCTGACCATAAAAGCCGGTCAGGGGCAGTAGGGTGGAATATTGTTGTTGGACGACAGTGCGCGTATACATCGCGGCTCCACCCACTGTACCCATAGAGTCCAGTAGAGGGCGGAGCCTGTGAGAGATATAACGTTGGGTTACGTATGGTAACCCTTGTTATATTAGCACAGGCGGAGCCCTCTACCCAGGGCACTGTCTGTCCTATTCCGCTCGCTGAAGAGAGGTGTAGGATGATAGTCAGGAGGTGAGGCCTCCTTTTATACGGTGTGATGCGCACGCATTCAGGTAGGCCCGCCCAAGGCCGGCTACGTCTATAGAAGTCTCAGTGGGAGAATGCTCGCAGGGTAAGGTAGTACCCATATAGTCCAGTAGAGGGCTCCGCCTGTGCTAATATAACAAGGGTTACCATACGTAACCCAACGTTTTGTAGTATAATATTTGAAGTGTGAATCTATACGCCTACTGCCTGAATCTGCTTAACCAAAGGCAGGTTTTCCTATAAATAAGATCTCTGAGCAGAGGACACATGTTTGATCCTAAATGTCTTGGTTTCTGCTTTTCTAAGGTCACATTGTTCTGTTGTCTTTCATATTACACTTGTGACAAACATTAGTTATTGGACAAATATCAATCCTGTATCAACAGAGATAGTGGAGGTTATGAAGGATTGATGGCTTCTGGACACATAGACGTTTTTATTTAGTTTGGTAAACCGTAGAAGATGCTAGTGGAGTCTGGAAGTGATGAAAGCATGGACGAGTGTTTCCATGCACTGACATGTTACATCACATGTTACTTGTTAGACGCTTTTACCCAAAGCTACTTACATCTACTCAATACTGTTGGCAATCCCCACTGGAGCAATTTGGGGTGAAGTGTCTTGCAGGGACACAACGACATGCTGACTGTGGTGGGAATTGAACCAGTGCTCCCCTGATCCGAAGGTCAAGGATAGGTTTTTGTTTATGGTAGTTTTGTAGTTTTGGTCCCGGCAGCCTGGCTCGGACCAATACGAATTCCTGATGTGGTTTTCTGGCAATGGGCTGCTCTCCCATCAGCGTGTTGGCAGGGCAGACGACGTCTCCAGAGGGCTCCGCTTTGTTTCCTTTGGCTCGCCGCAGCGTGACTTTTAGAGGAAGGTGACAGAACTAGATGACGTCCAGGGTTGGGAGGGATACTTAAAAAATGTAATCCGTTATGAATAATAGTTACCTTTAAAACTAATGTAATCTGTTGCTCCCCAAGCTTGGTGCCGTTTGATTGTAGTGAAAAGTTGGAGCAGCAAACAGACAATGACACAGATACATATGCTTAGACACTCATCCTCTGAAAGCAGGGAGCATACACAGTGGGTGTCTGTTTTGAATAATGTGTTTGTTTCCTACTTGCAAAGTTTTTCTTTAAAGTGTTATGAACATAAAGCAGCACACACAGCAGTGTGTTTGTTTAGGACAGATGTTAAGAAACCATCAGGGGTTCCCAACCTTTTTTCTCAAGAGCCCCCTCAAATGACTCCTGTTAGAAGTTGCGCGCCCCCCTCCACACACACACACACACACACAAGGGGGGGAAACAGCGGTAATTAAAGTTTCAAAGTCTCAAAAATGCTACAACTACTGTCACAAACTGGATGAATGTGAAGTATTTTGTTAAAGGAGGATGAAAGCGTAATTAAGGAGCACTATTGGAGTGACTTTGATGATTATTGGACTCAGGATTAATTCATTTGGATTCCCGCTGTATGAAGAAATTAAAGGACGACGCGGAAGTGGAAACAATTCACAAAGGGATTAAACTGTTTAAAACACATGCTCAAAGTAAGCCGGATTTTGCCGATGTGTTTATGTGGATTCAAAAGTCGTAAATAATCTACAAAATGGAGGAGACCGATCTGATCGGAGCAACTGTGACAAATAATCCAACTGAAACCGGTATGGACAATGACTATGTTTTTAAAAATGCGCTTATCCAGACAAGCCTGGTTTGGACACTTTACGGGCAGAAGAAATATTTCTATTAAAGAAATGTTTTTACATTTCTGTCTTTTTATGCCTTTATTAGCTACTAACTTGAATTTTTGTTAATATTAATTAATCAATTTTTAAAAATATGTTATTGTAATTTAGAGACAAGGCTTTTAGCGACAATCATGTATTGCGTTACAATATATGTAAAAAAAAAAGTGGCCCCCAGGTTGGGAACCACTGATGATACTCACTTTGAGACGGGTTTGGGAGGGTTATTGTGGCATGACATGTTAACATACTTCATCTTTCAAACCGGTCTTTATTACACAGAAGCCAGTCCCAGAACCCAATCTGCTCTGATTGGGAAGCTTTGGTTAGCTGCCCGGCTCTGTTGGGATTAGTCGACCGTTTAAAGATGTCCCGCCCCTCAACCAATCACGTACAATGTGTTGGAGCGCTAGCCAATAGAAGCACGAGTGTTACGTAGTTATATCACAATGTTCTGGAAGTAAACAAAGGAGTCCAATTGAGTTGTTTCAGGCAGGGGGGGGGGGAACTTTAGGATTTTAGCTTTTGCAGACCATTTACATACACAAACACCTGTACAACCCAAACTACAGGGAAGCGAAAACCCTAAAAAACATAGCAGGGCCTCTTCAAAGATGTAATCCGTTACAGTTACTAGTTACATTACATTACATGACATGTCACTTGCTAGACACTTTAATCCAAAGCGATTTACATACTCAATACTGTGGGCAATCTCCACAGGAGCAATTTGGGGTGAAGTGTCTTGCCCACAACGACATGCTGGGTTTGAACCTGTTCATGATCCAACGCACAACCCACTGCGCCACAGGCCTCTTATCGTTTCCTGATAACGTACTCTCTTTTAATGTAATCCGCTCGTCCCCAAGCCTCTGTCTGGGTTCTTATGTGTGTGTTAAACACGCCTCAAACCCTTCCTGGTGTTTAATGTTTAATTGAGGCTGACGGAATCAGTGATAATAGTTAACATAGCGCCTTTAAATTCCCTCAGCTCTGACTTCATTCACAACATTCATACCAGATAACTGTTTATTCTCAATGAACCATCCTGTATTTATAAATTATAATATTGCATCAGAATGAATACTAGAAAAACATATTAGGAATAAAACAAATGACACATTATTTGAATAGATGGTGAACATTTAACATGCTTAATGGACTTTAATTTGAAGTCACCACACTGTAAAATATGCTCTCCAAAACTGCACAGTTAAAGCAGACACCTCTGTGACTGGAAACTGTAGTCATACGTTCCCAGAGTGTGTGTGTGTGTGTGTGTGTGTGTGTTTGTGTGTGTGTGTGTGTGAGGTATGTATGATTTTGAAGCACATATGTCACACATTAGCAAGGAGTCATCCATTACCTGTTACTCAAATATTAACTTACAGAGGGAAACAGGAAGATAGAAAAATGGGGGAGGGATAGATGAGGGACAGTGACAGGAGTAGGAGTTCTTTTTAAGATACTTCAAACATTGTTGTTCAATTTCATTTTCACATGAAGCCTGTCTGACAGCATACCTTGGCCGAGGAAGTTACGTTATTGTTGTTATAAAAATAAACCGAGTGGTGCAGTGATGACATATTTTTGTAGGCTGACCCAGAAATCAAAATGAACATCCCAGGATTCTTTTTATTACACTGCTTAGTTGAATACTATTCTGATTGGTCAATGTGGACATTGGCTATTTGTCGCTATCAGACAAGGGACTATGTGCAGTCATATCAATCCGCAGAAAGAAGTCCGGTCAATTTAAAGTCAGCTGTGAAGAAACATTAGTCTCCACTTTTTTTACATTTATTCTTATATTTGTGGAGAGCACAACAGCAGAAGAAGACGGACAGGAAGTTAACAATAACAGGGACACGGTATGGCAGTGTTTAAAGACTGGTTAATGTAAAATAAAATGTGAACAGACTTGGACAGTTATAGAAATGCTCGATTACGTTGCTGTCACTGCAGTTCCAGCCGTTGGTACACACTTTTATATTCGGAAGCAATACTATCATTTAATATCGATAATGTGAGTCAAGTCGTTGGTCCTGCTCACCCTGACGATGTTCTTGTTTCATTTAACCCTTCCTAATGTAACCTACCTCTCCCTCTTTTTACTCCAGGACTCTGCTGTAGAAACGCTGCCTCCTCCAGAAAATCCCTCATCTCCATGGTAACGGGCCTCGGGCAGACCCAGAAAAACATCGGGCCAAACTCGTCCGTTCCTCTCCAACCTACCTAAAACTGGACCATACTGAAGAGGATATAAAAAAAAAATCATCATTCTTTGAAGTATTAATGATGACCTATCACTTCTTGGAGTTATTTTACAATTTGAGTACATTCACCGAAGCCAGAATACCTAAAATGGTGAAAAATGTAATATTTTAGACTCTGTACGTTACGTAAAATGCAGAGGAATTTTTATACTCTCTAAATGTTAGCCCGGAGGAACGTTTAAAAGATTGCTGTTCTTGAGCAATATGTCAGGGATGTATCCATGCACCATTAAGGGCTCTTAAACTGGACACCAGTCCCAAACTGGTCTGAAAGGAGTCCCCAAAACCGGACCAGGATGCACCAGCTGTTCAGCCGGGTGCTGGGGCAGCGGGATCTGTCCAGGGCGGGGGATCTATTTTCTCTGGAGGACTCAGAGATCGAGGCCTGTCTGTCTCAGGCTCTGGACCAGATCAAGGCCATCTCGTGCTCACAGGTCAGAAACCAACACATAGACAGGAAGTAACCAAGATATTTAGGATCATAAATGTGTCCTCTGCTCAGAGATTTTATTTATAGGAAAACATGCCTTTCATTCAGCATATTCAGGCAGTGGCCTATACACCAACAATGAAACACATGAGCACATACTACAGTTTTAAAAAAGAGGAAATAAAAACTCTGAGCTGTTTAATACACACAGTTAAACTCACACACACAATGTTATGAACACACAGGTACACCTACTGAAATAAAAACAGAACAAATGAACCAAAGAAAGTGAAACCATGAATCCGATTCAGGCAGTAGGCGTATAGATTCACACTTAAAGTATTAGCCTACAGAACAGTACAATTTACAAAGAAGAAATTAAATGTTATCCTTTTACAACAAACACAATATGCCCTTTCAATTTTGTTTTACTAACATTGTTATCATGCTAGTAATCCACAAGTTTTAGAAATGTAACACTAATCTGATGTGTTTTATGTACCGGTAACTGTAAGGGGATACAGTCACCTAATCCCGCTACATGTAAACTGTCTCTATCCAGGATGAATTTATCTAAGATATCAAAGGGCATGTTCTAGTTTGATTAATTATTCATGCTCTTATCCATAACTCATCTTTTTGTCCTTCATTCATCACTGTATCCTTAATTCATTGTGCCCTCTCACCATCTGCCGGCTCACAGGACTATCTGACCAATGACAACGACCAGGCGGTGGTGGAGATCTGCATCACGCGCATCACCACGGCGATACGGGAGACGGGCTCCATCGAGCGGCACAGCGAGGCGCTGGTGGGGCTGTGGGAGTCGTGTCTGGAGCACAACCTCACCCCGCAGGGAGAAAACACAGAGGACACCCCGCACGCCAAGATAGCCTCTGACATCACCAGCTGTATCCTGCAGGTACTCACACACACACACACACACACACACACACACACCACACACACACACACACACACACACACACACACACACACACATTGAGGCACACCCGTACACTAGACATTGTTTTCTCAATATCAAATAAAAATGTATTTATACATCACTTTTCATACGCAAAAGGTAAAACAAAGTGCTTCACAAACCATAAACTAATATTAAAACAATACTCTCACCTCCCTTGCCACACAGCTGCGTGATTAATAAAAACACTTAAAACCAACTGAATACAAATAAATAAAAGAGGAACTCCCTTTGGAGGGAGCTTGGGGATTTTAGCATTTGCAGACCATTTACATGCACACAAATCTATAGCACACACTACAGGAAAGAGAAAACCCCAAAAAGAATAATAAGACCGCTTTAAGAGCAAATCAACTTTAAATAAGCACTACAGAGAGTCTTTTAAAATCTAAAGCATTCCTTAGTTTCCCATCAGACCTAGCGGCTTAAAAGCAGACCGACTTTCTCTCTGTTCCCTTGGGGAATGTTCTTAATACCATCATAATGAGACTGAGAGGCAAGTACAGCGGCTCTGATGTCTTAACTCTCTTTCCTCTGGATTTAATTATTTTCTGTCTTACTTATTCACTGTCTCTTTTCCCCCCGTCTACCTTTATTTGATCTCCTCTGTTCTATCTGTCATCTTGCCATGTTGAATCTGTTCATGCACAAACACTCTCCTTACCCCTTCTCTGAAACCCCCACTGAGACAGAGGTGGATAGAAGTTCTCTCTTTAGTAACAATTGTGATTGTAAAACTCCTTCATTGAAAATCCTACTGAATTAAAAGTACAAAAGTATTGGCATCAAGATATACTAGGTACCAAAAGTAAAGTTGTACACAAGGAAACAACAACATTTACTGTATGGTTGTGATGATGAAAATAACATGATGTAGATTCATTTGATGAATACATAACGCTTTTCAAATCAAATCAAGTTTTATTTATATAGCACATTTATAAACAATTTTTGGTTGAGCCAAAGTGCTGTACATATAATAAAAATAGCCTACAGTAGAGACACTTTACAGCTAATTGTTTACAGCACAGATTGTTCAGAATATCAGTATGAGAAAAAAAACGACACCCTCTGTCCTTAGACCCTCACATCGTACAAGGAAAATCTTCCGGAGAAATCCCACAGTTTAAAGGGGAAAAAAATGGGAGAAACCTCAGGGAGAGCAACAGAGGAGGGATCCCTCTCCCAGGACGGACAGACGTGCAATAGATGCCGTGTGTAAATCGAAGAGATAATATATTTTACAGCATATAGACCGAATGTTAGGAAATGCATGTGTCTGTAATAAGAAGATGAATCTACGAAGATGTCAACTACAATCCTGTGGAAGCCATCAGGGAGGCAGCATGACGAGACCCAGGCAGGACCGCAGAGACAGGTTGAGCCACGACCCGAAGTCCACGACTTAATCCAGAACTTAGGATAGAGGATCCAGGACACAGGACCACAGCAAGAAGATCAGCCTCGACTCTAGATCCCGGCGTAGATATAGATACAAAACAAGAAAAACTTTGGCGGGGTTAATCGGAACAAGAGAATACACAGACACAGACAGACAGACGGAAGAACAAGCACTCCCTTAGAATAGGTTGAGGGCAAAGGGTAGCAAGTAAGAGAGTAAGAAACATAGGTGGAGAGGCACACTCAGGGAACAAGGTCCCCACTGGAGCCTTAGTTGGAAATTGATGAGAGATAGGGAGGTACGCTGTGTCTACGAATCGTAACACTCCCGGCCTGTCTAAGCCACTCTGCAAACCGTTTCCCTCTAATAAAACCTCAAGAGGTTAGAGAGGGAAAAGGTCTTGGATAAAAGTTATTCTTGAGAAGAGAAGCCTAGAAGGCCAGCTAGAAAACGTGAGTTTTAAGTGTTGATTTAAAAAAAAAAAACAGGGTCTGGGCTTTTGTGGATACATTGTCTGCACTGCCATCTAGTGTTGAAATAGACAAAGAAACTAAGGCTGCACACTTTTCCAAAACATCAACAGCAGCTTGATCGACGTTTTCTGTAACTGTCCAAGTCTGTTCACATTTTCTTTTCCATTAACCAGTCTTTAAACACTGCCAGAGCCCATAGTGTGGTCCTGTTAGTGTTTACTCCCTGTCTTTCTTCTTCTACTGTTCCCTTTAGTGTTTACTTCCTATCTGTCTTCTTCTTGTGCTTTCTCTCACGTCCAACGCTCTGTCTTTTAATATATTACTTTCTCTCCCTTGATCCTCCTTAGCAACGGTCATTATTTTGCTTAGCAGCGGTTTGTTATCGAGTATTAACAACCTCTGAAATGTCCAAATTGACCAATCAGAATTGAGTATTCAAATATTTGTGTAATGAAATGTATATAATGACTGCTGAGGAGCGTAGAAGTGATTTGACTGAATTTTGAAATAATAAACAATAATAGCCTACAATGTAAGGCTCAGCAGTATCTTTCAGTTTCACTGTCACACACACAAGGGTCACACAGACTTGTATATCAGTGTGTCCTGTTGAGGGTGCTAGTGCATTTCAAATCCTTTTCTTTCTTCCTTCTGGAAGTGTTCGCTTTTTTGTGGTATGGGATGGTACTTTTTAAAAGTATTTCCTGTTGTCTGTGTTGTTTGAAACAGGTGCCTTTTAACTGCAAATCAAATCTACCTACGGGTACAAATAAATACCCTGAAGGTATTTAATAAAAGCCCCTGTATCTGGATATATGACAAAGGCTGTCTCCTCTTCCTCCTCTCTTGTTTCCTCTCCTCAGAACTACAGCTGTCCCTCCGTCATGGTGCTGGCCGTCCCGGTGGCGGTGCGTTTCCTGCAGAGAGGGAACCGGGAGCTGAGCAGGAACATGTCCAGTTATCTGTCGCTAGCAGCCATCGCCAAGGCTGACCTGCTGGCTGAACACACCGAGGCCATAACGCTCAGTGTGCTGGGAGGTAGGACGCTACTTTTATATTGTGATATTTAGAATAGGTAACTGATCACATTTATTCACATTGTAACAGATTACACTTTTAAAGTAACCCTCCAAACCCTGGATACTGGTCGGTATTGATTTTAACTTCCTGTCTTAACAATTGCAAAAGGTGAACTGTGCTGACCTCTTGACAGTCGTAAAGGAACGTTTTCCCAAAGCTCTGCCCTTTAACCCGTTTTTTAACACAGATGCTCATTAGTGAGGTGTAGGCGTCTGAAGGGCAGTAGTTTGTAATCCTTGATGGAGATTTGTTTACCCCTTTAGGCCTGTACACACACACACACACACACACACACACACACACACACACACACACACACACACACACACACACACACCACACACACACACACACACACACACACACACACACACACACACACACACACACACACACACACAGAGCATCAGAGTATCAGAGTGAGCTGCCCACCCTGTGATGCCTCCAGCTCTCACATGAAACAGCTTAGCTCTC